ACAAAAATCCATGCTCATTCATCATATGTGCTCTCAGATAATATTTACTGTCGAAAAGAAGACTACAAACACCACAAGCAACTTTGTTCTCATTGGTCTTTAGAGGTGCATTCAATTCTCTGATCATTGTTTGTAATCTCTGCAGGTCCTGGCCAGAGGACTCTTCAGCCAAAGATGTGCTAATTGTAGCCTGTTGTTGGAGCACTACTGAGGTAGTGTAGTTACAAGCACTGCATGTATTAGGGGACTGTTGTTGACAAACTGGAGAGCTGGATTTTGACTTTTCTTCTTCTTTGATATATGGAATGTTATGAGTGTAAAACTTGTGCATTTTAAGAAGATACTGACTAGCAAAGGGACGATTACAGATTTCACAGGTTAATTCCCCACTTCGTTCTCCACATACATTTATATTTTCTTGTTTACTATGAGTTTCCTGTAACAAAGTTATTGGAATGTTACTTGAAGAAGGAACTTGACCTGCCTCAAGAGTTGGTGAAGATGTGTTATGCTCACCAGATTGTGAAAACTTACTACCAGACTCTGAGATACTAATACCATGTTTGTTAAGTTTGTGTGTACGTAAGAAATATTTGTTACAAAATTCTTTGCAACATAATTCACAAAATGCATCTACATTGATTACTCCAATCTCACGTAGCTTCTCTGGAGTAAAAATTGCTACACCTTTTTCACTGCTTGAAGAGTCTTCTGCTGGAACAATGGAAGCTTTGCTATCAACAGTTGCAGAAACATTTGTTGAAGATGACATAATTGTTTCTGTAGCAGAACATGGCTTAGATAGTACATTTTGATTAAAGAAGATATTCTTTTGTATATTAAATAGAGTGGGTAAGTTTTGTATGGAAGTTTCACTGGAAACATTAGGTGGTGAATTGTTATTCTTTTCAGAGGAAAGAGTTAATCCTGGAGAACTAGATGTTGATGTTGCTGGTGAGGTAGCTTTTTTGTAATCATTTACTGAACTTTGTAGACTTTCGTCTATACCATGAACCTTATGTTTATGGTTTTTAAGAAAATATTTATTAGAAAATTCCTTCTGGCAAATTTCGCAGAAAACCTCTAAGTTCATAATTGCCTGATGTGGCGTAGATGGTCTGGTTGGAGGATTTTTAAGTAAAGGTGGAGGAAGAGAGACTGGGTTGGCTGATGTGCTATTGAGAAATGCTCCAGGGAATGAAGGGGTAACCACTGTTTCCGATGAATAAATTCCATGCTTGTTAGCTTTATGGGTTTTAAGGAAATACTTATTACAAAACTCTTTATTACACAGCTCGCAATAAGCTTCTGGGTTGAAAATGCGAATGGTTGAGTTTGGACTATTAGGGATCGTTTGATTCTGCCCTTGGATATGAGGAAGAACAGGGAAAAGGAATGGGGCAAAAGAGTTTGGAAACATGGTTAGAGGAAGAGACATGTTTGTTGGCTTCCCATCTCCTGAGTGGGATATAGGTATTAATGGAGGCATGCTTGGAAATATGGAGTTTTTAGTATAATACCTATTATCAAGAGAACTGCTACTGGCACATGAAATTGGCATTAAGGGAAATTTTTGTTCATTAAACATTGTGAAAGGTGAGACCTGAGTGGCTCTGACTAAATTTAAATCTCTCTGAGCTTCAGTACTGTTTGCTTCCATGCCATTTAATGAGGTAGATCTGTTGTGAGATTGCTGCTGAAGCTGCTTTTCTAGTAGTTTCTGGACATGCTCTTCTTCTATATGAACTCGCAAAGATTCTTCATTCTGAAACATACTATTACAATGTTGACATTTCAATAATGATTCTTTGTCAACTTCAGACTCTTTTGTGCTATTCTTATGTTTTATCTCCAAGTTTAAGGCCTCTTCCGGAATTTTTGAAGCCAGTTCCTCACCATCCTGAGTTTCTAACACTTGTGTCGTGTGATACTTCACTGGATTACTTTGTTTGCGTCTTTTTTTTGCCGCTTGTTCTGCAAATGATGCAGGGTTAAATGCAGATCCATTTTCATTAGTTTGGTCCATGCTGTTTCCATTTTCATCTTCAGAGCAGCCTTGAGTATCCTGATGAGGAGAGTCATAATCACTGGAGCTTCCTTCAAGTGTTGGAACATTACTAAAAGAGTACAAAGTGCTAAAATCACTTTCTTCTATTATGGATGGCTCTTCCATGTTCTATCTTTCAACCTCCATGTGAGATAAAAGTAAGAGATGAATTTCAAAATCTCACACAAGGAAAATCTTCTGTTTGGTGTTACAAAGTAAATAACACTATCCATGATACTTTCTGGTTTTTTTACTGCACATTCTGCAAAACACAAAGAAACATACATCTTAAATGCTTCCAGCTAAGAGGATAACCTTTATAATAATACAATTAGGATAATTTCCAAACCTAGCATTAGGCTTATGTTAAAATAAAAAAATACTATTTCACCACCTTACATATAAAAAAAAATTGTATTGAGAATATAAATAATATTTTAAATATTAATTTGCAAAGTTGCATAAGAAAAACAAAACTGTGTAGAGAAGTCTAGGTTTTTAGCTGTCTCCTTATTAACAATGTTGAATTCCATTTCTTAGATACACTCATCTACCAGTATGCTTTAAAATATTTATTTCATTTCCATACAGCAAGGAAAACTGAAGACACATTAAAAAAATTTATGAAAAATACAAGATGAAAGAAATAATTAAAAATAATAGCCATGAAAAGAACTACCAGGAAAATTTAAATACAATAAAATTAAGCAAGTATAAAACTAAGGTGTATAATTTAAAACAAAAGTACAACAATAACATGTTTTAGACAAGTAAATAAAACTGAGCTTTTACAGAATATAGCATAATTAAACAATGGTGCACTTACACAAAACAGTTCAGAATAGCAGGGAAGATATATATATTCATATCACAGGAAAAATTTGTGCGATAATTTAAACACATACAGTACTTGAAGATCATTTACCCCAGGGAAATATCTTTACCATGAAACATGGAATGGAATGTTAACCTATACAAAATAATGTTTAACCACTGTTCCATAACATAAAAAATATATATAATTACCAAGCAGAAATGAACGTACATAGTATGATATATAATTATTTAAAGAAAGCTGTTTTTAATGTACATGTAGGTTATACAGATAATAAACACTGAGCCTTGATATACTGATAAAATGGCTCCTACAGCCAGAGATAAGGCTTGTGATTTGTGACATTTTTGATATCTTATTTGAGTTGATAAGTGACAAATAAACCATTCTTTACATTCAGTATTTTGGACATTCTATCAAAACTGTGAAACTACTTCGTGGTTCTAATTAAATTATTATATTAATTAATAATAAGTTCAAGTAATTAGTGATATGCTTATAGCCTTTCTATGGGTGACCTACATTGAGTAGTGGAATGGAAAGGTTAGAGATATGAACCTGAATACCAAAAATAATGTTCCAACTGTAGAAAGCTTTCCTGTTATCCTTCCTTTCTTATCAATTCATTTTTTAAAAACAGTGAATTTTAACAAGTATTCTATTAAAGTCTATCTGGACAAGAAACTTGTTAAAAAGTAGTGGACACTAGTTTTAATAATGAACTTTTTAAAGGGTTTATGACTATTTCTTTTTTTGGTAAAGCCCAAACTAAGAATCTCATAGTGTTTATGTAGTTACAAGTAGCTTAATATTATGGAGTTGATGATCTGTAATAAAAGGGCTATTTCATTAAGCTTTATTTAAAGTAGCTATACATTTACAACTTCTTGTATAAGTTACCTGAGCACAACACACCATGCTATACTTTGTCTAAAGACTTGTTCGGAAAAGCATAATCCTTCCTTTATTTGTAGACACAATTCAACCTTTTATATTCCTACTTTCATAAATGTAAACAATTCAATTTTTAACAGGTTAAGATATTGTATTAAAAAGCAACTTCTTTTGACATTTTAAAACACAAGTAGTCAGTGCCCGATTAAAGTTTTGTTGTGATAATTTCTTAATGTGATTGATTATCAAGAAATCTTAGTTTACTTTTTATTTCTTTTCACATGAAAGCATTTGACAGGTAAAATTTATACATTAGCACATCTACAAAAAAACACAAGTAAAAAATTTATAAATTTCTTTTGTAATTTAAGAACACATTTAACCAATTTACAAACAAAATATATCTGAAAATATAAAAGCATTAAAATGATTAGTTTCCAGTAAACATTCTTTTAAAACCTATATCATATGGATATGTATATTGCAAATAAACAGTTCTTCTTGTCTCCTTCTAACAAACTGAATTCTACAACTCATATGGGAGATGATATAGTCATGATCATCATACTGTAACATCACAAATTTGAGATAATTCTTCGATAACCTTTACAAAAATACTTAGGACTGACTGACTTCCTTTGTAAAAACTTTGCATTAGTAAAAAGAGAGAGACTCTTTATAATAAAATGTTAAACAAGAGGTTTAATTCCTGCAATCCACTGATTATCTAGAACTTCTACAAACACCAATGAAATCTATATTAGCATTTATTTGCAGTTGAAAAATGAAATATCTACAATCATAAAGAAAATATTACCAGAAAGCTTTCTACCTTACCACCTTCTGATTTCCGTACCTAATGTGTGCTGAGAACATTTGGTCACCACAACTTTTGAACTATTCTAAATATTTTTGGAACATATTCGCACACAAAAAAATAATATAAATTTTCATAAGATGACTTTTGACTTTCTATATTAAGTCAGGGATCAGTTAGTTTAACATCCTATGATATAAATACCTCTGTTACAAAACATGCTAGAGTTTTTACTATTTACAATGTTCAAGCAAGTACAATGATCACACCTACACACAATTTTAAATAACCAGTTAAAAACAAGAGAGAAATTTGAAATTAAACTAATCAAGAGAAGACTAGCTGAATGGTAGATCCATAGTATTGCTAACATTATGACTCTAATGATATTTAAGCAACAGCAACAACAGATTACCAACATAAAAAAAATAATAAACTGGTAATGAACACAAGTGTATGCTCCAGCATGTAACACCAATAAGTTATCATTGATAAACAAAAATTCAAAGACATTTAGTGGCAAAGCCATAACAGATCTCCCCTCACAATGGATAAAGTAGGCATAACTTTTTGCAGATGTAGTCAAATAGTCATCATTAATCCTTATGACAATTTGTGATCAACCAACAGCAAGAAACATTGATGTTATATTTATATACTGTAAAACCATAAGTCTAAAACACCGAGTTATCTTATATAAGTGTTAATACCAATAGTATGAAACACTGGTATTATCTTGTATAAGTATTAATACCAATAGTATGAAACACTGGTATTATCTTGTATAAGTATTAATACCAAACAGGCTGAAACATTGATGTTATATTTATAAGTTTCAAAACCAAAAGTCTGACACTGTTATTTTTGCAGTTTGTAACTGCTTACAATATAACAATTTGTTTTTCTGTAAAATGTTAAACACAGTACTGTCTAATTCAGCTACATTATTTTATATAATCCCATGATGGTAAATATAATAAGCTTTACATAAATCTCAATAATATACTCTGTATGGTGTATTTACATCTAACATTCCTGAAGTATTTTGTAAAATGTCCATATCTACCAAACGTTGGTGAAATAATCAAAGAAGTAGCAACTGCTAAGTTCCCAATACAATTTTCTGAACATTTTTAATAAGAAAGTCATATAATACATGGTTAATGTGACTTAAGAAAGCCATTCTTCTAACATTACAACTGGTAATGTTTTACTATCACCATTTTAATACAGTAGATCATGAATTTGAACATTTTCAATTTCTTGCTGTATTAAACTTTATCTTTCACTCAGGTCAAGTTACACTGGGTAGAATTAATCATGTAACTAAAATCTACCTCTACAATTAACTGAAGTATTCACAAAATGGTTCTGTTCTTTTTTGGAGATCAAACTTCATCAAAATTTCAAAAACCATCTGCTAATTTGTTTTTATTTATAACACATACACACAGACAAAATATTAACATTAACTGTATCACAACAGTTGCTACCATTTTGGGTAGAAATAGAAAAAAAAAGAACTAAAATTTTTGAGCAAAAACGTTTAGATTATAAGAAAAAATACATAATGACAGACTAGCTTGGAAAGTATTCAGTATTGTAGCTTTTTAAATCACAAGTGGAATTTGAGGTCAAAATATAAGAGAATAATTATAGACTAAAATAAACAAAACTGGATTAACAAGTTATAACTATCATAATCATAGGCAAATGCATTCCCCTTACACTTCCCAAGTCTGACCAATGTTTTAATATGGACATTTTAAATGAAACATTAGTCTTTAATCAAATGACATATTAGTGTGTAAAAAATATGAAGATTAACCTGACAAGATGATTTTATACAAAACTAGTTTATTATCTGGTAAATAATTTTTAACACATTCTATTGCAACTGCTTTTTTTTTTTTGACAGAAATTGATATATGTCACTTGATTCACAAAACTGAACAAAAAAATAACTTTCATACCTTTTATAATGCCAAATTATTATTACTATTAAGCTAAATATAGCACTACTGAATCATAATCCTTAAAAGTACTACTTAAAAAAATTACCAAGGTATCATTTTTATTTCTAAGTCAATCTGTAATTTGTTTATAAGTAATTATAGAAATCAGACCCAAGTTTGTATTTCATAGGCTCTGGAAACTGCAAAATTTGTCAAATAAATCATAGCTCTCAGTCAGTATACTATTAAATAACAAAGTACTCAAGCTATAAATAATTTTTAACATATTGTATAAATATGCATTTAATCATAGGGCCCAGGAAAAGTGTTACATTACTTACTTATGATTAACTTTCTAATTTCTTCATCATCATGTCATTTATTAGGTATGCAAGGTTCATAATAAGAAAAAAATGTGAGATTTACAATGATTAAAATGATAAAAACGGTCGCCCTTATTACTATTAGATGAAATGCTATTCTTATTAGAATGCAAAAACTATAAAACTTTACAAGAAACTAACACACGAACTATTCATTTCAATTCAAAGTTCAAAATGTGCGAGACAGGAAAGCGAAGACGATAATTCCCCTTAGGCTTTCAAAACAAAATTAAAATTTCCACCACGCACCTACCCGTAATCCTACTACGTACGTACAACACCCTGGGCCTCGAATCCAAAGTAACGTAACGGAGTTTACAATACAGTAGATACGGCATCTGAATCAGTGAAAGGAGTACATCAATACTGACCGCTATACAATATAGTATACGCTTTTTAACTTTAGTTTTCTCGGTTATCACTAAACACTGTAACAAGTTTAAACCAAACTAACTAATAAAGAGATACACATTTGTTACTGAAAGAAGCAATTCACTACAAAAAAGAAAGGTCAGGGTAAAAGTGACACATAAAATAATCACGATAAAAACTCACATAGAACCTCACACCTAGCAGTCTTCAGCAGCCATGTTACTTTCAGTGATCAACACCCACAATACCTTGCGAGTCAATTTATGAAATATTACTCCTTGTATGCGCTAGCGCAGAAATGACTCATTGACGTCGAAAAGTGTTGCTTCGTAACTTAGTTTTTAATTTTGATGTAAATAGGAATTATTAAAAGTTTTATTTGATAATTTGATTAAACAATTAGTCCAGTTTTAGCATATTCTCTTAACACATTATTGTGATAGAACATCTCTGTGAACAGTTCTGCTGAATAGACCACTTATGCAAATCAAAATTAATAAACATGATTGAAAAGACATGATCTTCGTTAGTCTTATACTTTTCTAAAATTATGCTGCCTTATATAGTGTCGCCCCCCAGTGACTCAGCGGTCAATTGGAAGACTTATAATGCTAAAAACCAGGTTTCGATACCCGTGGTAGGTACAACACAGATAGTCCATTGTGAAATTTTGTGCTTAACTACAAATAAAGAAAACTTGTACGGTGTTTGAAATTGAAAGATATATTTATGCTAGTTAATCCATATAAAATGTAATATACATACATTTAGTTCAAAGATAATGAATGCAAATGTGCATTTCATAACATAAACTTTTACAAGAAATTTTAAAACTCAGTATAAATTTGTAATTATGTTATTTGTGGTTTGAGTTAAGAAATCATGAACCCCCAAGTTAATTTAAAATAAAAATGAAGATGACACACAACTCAGGTATTTAGAAATATTAATTCATTGGTCAGTTTGTGTCGTTGTCTTGAAAAGCACTTGAACTTGGAATACTTGTTAATAATTAACAGCAACCAAATTCTGGTGCGATAAAAAATAAAGTTTATAATCCTTCCTATTAATGGAAAAAGAAAGTTTGTTTGTAGTGAAACACAAAGCTACGCAATGGGCTATCTGTGCTGCCCACCACGGGTATCGAAACCCGGTTTCTAGCGTTGTAAGTCCACAGACATGCCGCTGTGCCACTAGAGGGCGGAAAAAGAAAGTCAAGCTTTTGACAAAATACAATATTAGTTCGCTGTATTTTCTGTATATGACACTGTTACAGATTAAAAATAATTTTCAGATTTTTATTTTTGAAAAAAAAAGTATACACGTGCGTGTAAAAATTCGTTTGTTTGAAGCTAAGCATAAAGCTGCACAATAGGCTATTTGTATTTTGCCCATCACGAGTATCGAAACCCGGTTTCCAGCAGTGTAAGTCCGCAGACATATGACTGAACCTTGTTTGATATTTTTACCGTAACTATTGAATTCAGAGTTAAAACAGCAACATTTCCTGATAATTATACACCTGTCCCAACTTTTCATTCTAACGGATGCTTCGTTATCAAGTAAAATTTTGAATATGGGGGGGGATCTCCAGTGCCACTCGGATTCCGCCGCCTATGCCAGGATATACACTATTTCTTACACTTCTTTTATGTGAATGCACGAAGATGTAAAGTAGAAAGGAGAATCACATATGCCCGAAACTAAGTAAAACAATATACTACTGTTGCTAAATTACTTTACATACTTGGAAGTTTCGTTGTATTATTCACACACACACGAAGTATACCAAAATTAAACTTAACCATTATCCAACGTTATTGTACTTCTTACGCCACTAGGCTAATAAGGGGCGGGAGAAATAGGGGGGGGGGGGAGTTATAAAAACAAAAGATTTATAAGCACCAAATTCGTCAAGTCTTTGAAGAATCAAGAGCATTTTAGACACATTTTTCTTTAGATTTCAAATGTAGTAAACTTACATAAAAAACATAATTCACAAATTCATGTCAAATCACTTGAGCAAAAAGAAATGCCATTTTTATTCTCAGCCTGACCGAAAAAAAAAGCATACTATGGCAGTGTCACATAAATTATCGAGTCTGATAGTAAAGTCAAAAGCACTGCTATGGTAGTGTCACATAAATTATCCAGTCTGATAGTAAAGTCAAAAGCACTACTATGGTAGTGTCACATAAATTATCGAGTCTGATAGTAAAGTCAAAAGCACTACTATGGTAGGGTCACATAAATTATCGAGTCTGATATTAAAGTCAAAAGCACTGCTATGGTAGGGTCACATAAATTATCGAGTCTGATAGTAAAGGCAAAAGCACTACTATGGTAGGGTCACATAAATTATCGAGTCTGATAGTAAAGTCAAAAGCACTGCTGTGGTAGGGTCACATAAATTATAGAGTCTGACAGTAAAGTCAAAAGCACTGCTACTGTAGGGTCACATAAATTATCGAGTCTGATAGTAAAGGCAAAAGCACTACTATGGTAGGGTCACATAAATTATCGAGTCTGATAGTAAAGTCAAAAGCACTGCTATGGTAGTGTCACATAAATTATCGAATCTGATAGTAAAGGCAAAAGCACTACTATGGTAGGGTCACATAAATTATCGAGTGTCACATAAATTATTGAGTCTGATAGTAAAGTCAAAAGCACTGCTATGGTAGGGTCACATAAATTATCGAGTCTGATAGCAAAGTCAAAAGTACTACTATGGTAGTGTCACATAAATTATCGAGTCTGATAGTAAAGTCAAAAGCACTGCTATGGTAGGGTCACATAAATTATCGAGTCTGATAGCAAAATCAAAAGCACTACTATGGTAGGGTCACATAAATTATCGAGTCTGATAGTAAGGTTTATCCATCCTACTTGACTATTGTCTGTTTTTATCGCAGAATTAAAAATAAAAGCATTGAGGTTAATTTTCGTGCCCTAAAACATTTAGATTCTGGACACAGGGTTTTGATAAAATAGCAGAAAACCATATTTATGCATGGGGTTTGTTTGTTTGTTTTGCTGTTAAGCCCAAAACTAAACAATGGACTATTTGTTCTCTGCACACTACGTGTATCGAAAGCCGAATTTTAACATCTTAAACCTGCAGACGTGCCCTGAGCCACTGGGAGCAAAAAGTATGTAAAGAAATATATATATATGTAATAATTTTTTACTTTTCAGTAGCCTCCTTTCTATTCGTACATGCCACCTATCCCAAGATTCAGGGGTAAACTCGTGAGCTTATTAACGTTAAAACTGGGGATCGATATCAACAGAGGGCGCAGTGCACATAGCCCATTGTTTAAATACAAACAAATGTTTGCACATACTTTGTGATTATAATGAAATCAAACGTTGAGCGCCATGACCGACGAACTGGCAAAGTATTTCATGATAAGATAAATCATCTTATGAAGTATTATTTAACAGATTATGGTATAAAGTATAATGAATATTTTTGCAAAAATTAATTTTCCTATTAATTTAAAGTAACTGAATTTCATTAAAACGTATTATAAAATACTTCCAAAACAGTTTAAAATCACTAATCTATCTATTTATCAGACTTGTTACTTTCAAACTTACGAAGTAACTGTATTAAAATACAATCACACATACCTTACTGTACCATATCTATTGTCCTTATCTAAAGTAAAATCTCAACATTAAATTGTCGTTCTTGAATGAACTTCTTTATATAATTCCCAGTTAAATAATTAGACGACAAATAAATGTAAACAGTATATATTTTAATCTAAGGAAAAACCTCCATCTTAGTTTCGTTGATCCCACACTAAATAATGATAATAAACAAAATTCTTACGTTTTTGTGTTTTCAAAGTAAATAAACATTTATACCGACCAGATGTTTTTCCATTCATTTACTGAATAGCTGGAGGCTACTGCAGTGCGAGACATTTTTAGCTGGCTGACGCTTTTGGCTCCATCTGTTGAAAACAAATCCAAGTGTTTATTTCATCGAAAAAGAATAATGTACACTGTAAAATCATACTAAATACAATTAATTACTAGAATAACTCATTTTAAATAGAATCTTTCGCTGTAGCCAAAAACCTAAAAATCATATATATATATATTATAAGATTTATTACAAGTAAGCAGAAATTAAAAAGTCTTCACACCGTCTAACACGATGGAATGCATAACAGGATTAATAGAGAAGTGTTAAGTGGATTCCTATTAAAGTTCTGAAACAGAACTACCAGCAAACAGTAAATTCTTTAAGCTAAAATAAAATAAATAAATCCAATAGTTTTTTAAAATCTTGATCAGAAACTCACAAGCAAATGATTTTTTATTAATTCTATTTTATTAATTACATGGTTCTGTGTGGCACTTGAAACATTATTTTACTTACATTTTCACCGCAGGTTGGCGCTAAGGCAGAGCTCTGGATTTAAGAGGTGGCGAGCAGGGTTCGAATTTATGCGATGTCAGAAAACAATTCCCTCGTCTTAAGCTGTGGGTGTTATAAAAATGACAGACAATTCCACGAGTGATCGGTGGGTTGGGTGGTAAGGTGTTGCTGACTGCCTGCCTTCCCGTTAGTCTGTAGTTTAAAATCATGGTCCCCCGAGGGGTCGGAGGTAAGTTTACTGACTTACAACGCTAAAATTTGAGGTTCAATTTCCCACAGTTAACAACTTGCAGATAGCCCATTTTGTATCTTTGCGCGTCAACAACTTTAAAATTAGGAACGGTGGCAGATACATTATTACCTCTACCATAAATTCAAATCTTATATAATTTGAAACACTATGAAATTACTAAATACTTTTTTAGACAATGTAATTAAACTTAGATAATATAGAAAGTTTTTAAGATATACTTCAATGAGGAGTTGTAAAAACAGTTACTTGTGTTAACGATACACTATCTGATTCACAATAAGAAGTATGTTCGAGTGGATTCTATTGCCTAAGCGTATTCAGTATGTACATGCCCCCGCAGACCTCACGATACGGGATGATAGCCACATTAACTATGGACTCATAGCGCTATAATATGTCGGATATGAAGGAGTCCCGATGGAAAAATTCGCAGGGGGGCTCACACATTCTGCGCTACGGCTCCGAGTATTCTGACACAGCCGGTTATACAGAAAACACCTGCTTGGTGTGTGTATTTATCACCACGTTATTCGCATGTCTCGTGTTTAAGGCGTAATTGTAACAATAGGATTAA